TATTTCTGTTGCTATTTATGTGCTAGTTTGAAATGGCAGGGTGCTGCAGGCCTAGGGGAAGGACTCGGTGAAAACTATGCCAAGTCACTTGCCATTACAATCATCTGTTTTAAAAATAGTTGAAATGTCTGCTTCCTCACCTAGTCTTTTCGGTAATGTTTTTGGGTTGCTGTTAGACACTAGCTTCTTAGAGCGTGACTTTAGTCATTGTCACTCTTGTAAAAGCGTTTCTAGCTGAATGCTCAATATTTTCCTTTGGGGTGGGTTTTTTTTAAATGACAGGGTTCTTTGGAAGTCTGGTCTAAATAGATGGAGACATTCCCCTTTCTGTGCTGAACTTCTACAGCTGGAAGAAATAGCTATGCAACCTTTAGGGAAAGAAAAGAAAATATATTTCGCTGCTTTAAATGAGCCAGTTTGAAACACTGTGCAACTCTGGAAGGCTTGCGTAGCCAGTCTGAGGTTCCAGGTATTGGTACTTTGGCATCAGGGTTTTGTGGCTTAGTGCTGTGAGAGCCATAAGCCAGAGACACTGGGTGGTTTTTTTTGTCTCTGGCTCTCAGTTACTTACTGGAAAATACACAAGTGTCTTTATGGATGAGTGATTTGGTTCTGAAGTGTAATTGAAAGTCATAGCTTGTTTTTATTGCTGTGTGGTGGAAACTCATTTTCTCAGTATAGGGTCCAGCATTCATTTGCAAGCCTTGTGAGAAGGAGAATGCTATCAGGAAAGTTACGGTGCCTTTTCTGATCTGTCCTTTAGTGGTAAGACAAAGTGATTAATCTGTCCTCCTTTCTTGAAGTCTATTCTGGAAGCTGGGGGATTTCCTACCCTATCACATCCCTCTTGAAGTCATGGCTTTGTTCTGGCCACAGTCTCTATTTCATGGATACAGCTCGAGTTCCTTAAACAAGTTTCCATCCTGTGTCTCCACCCGCTTAAACTTCAAACACTTCATAAAGCCTTGGATCACTCTTAGCTTAAATATTTTCTTTTATTCTTGCATTTGTAAAGTAGGTCAGTCTTAAGTGTGACATTTTTTGTATAAAGCAGCTTTTTCCAGGAGTTCTGTGGTTGAAGAGTAACGGATATAAAACCCAAGTGTTTGATCATGACATTAAAATTATAATTGATTTTGAGTGAAATTCTATTCTGGATTTTGTAAAAAGAATGAATGATTACGTTAGGCCTTATGCTTTTCAGTCACCTTCCTCAACAACTTTATAAAAGGCGATTTTACCAGAGATAGAAGAACATTGGCTGCCCTCAGAGAAGACAAGAATATAATTTGGACTAGATGATCTTTTAAGGTCCCTTCCAACCCAACCCATTCTGTGATATCATTTGGCAGTGTTTTGGTTGTTAATAAGGGGACATGACAACCATAAGACTATATTTTTTTCGTTGTTCTGTAACAAACTTTTGTCTATAGGTAACCCCAGAGTACATCCTGGAGAGATCTGTGTCCTTAAGTGGAAGAGGAGTGATTGCTTTGCTTTGAACTGCTGTCCTTTGACAATGGTTTATCCTTTGAGGATGTTTCTGAGGTACCCCAATACGAATTGGAGCTTTATTCCTACTTCAGACCTCTTGCACATCTCGAAAACATCTGCTGATTGCTTTGTGCTGGGCCTTGGATGCTTTGGGAGGGGACTCGAGCTTTGTGTGACAGGATAATATACCACGAGCAGGGGTATTCAGAACAGGTGATCAAAGAAATCCGTCTTAAATCCAGGAGCTATGTAGTGCTTTCAGAGTGTTCTGCTGCAACTATTGCATGTCACTTTGATAGGTCTGTGCTCTTCTGCTTTGCCCATCCATTTCTTTAACAGAGAAGGTACCAGCTTATGCCTTCCAGGAACCCTTTCCAAGCTGGTTCCCTCTCCTGCTTGGATTTTAATAAGTGCTACTTTCAAATCTGTGATGAAGGGGTTTCTTGGAGGTAGTCCAGCCTTCTTGCAGCAAATCCAAGTTCATGAATGTAGATTTAAATTCCTACCAATCCGTCTGTCATCCAGCTTTCTATTATGTACCAGCCAATTACCCTGTAGCACTTCTTTATTTTTCTTGAAGAAAACAGGTTTCAAGGAATGTTCCCTTCTACAAACATAACCTTCCTGGGTTAAATAGTCTTTAGAAATCCCACTTCAGTACATTTTAGTTGCTACATGAGGAAAGGTGAAATCTAACGTAGTGATCAATGATATATATTTTCTCCCCATGAAGGAGGAGTGAATTTTTGAAGTGATTATATATTGCTGAAGCACAGAGGAGGCTTTGGCTAATATCTATCCCGTCGTGCCTTGGATTCATAACTGTTCAATCGCTGGCATTGTTGTTTGAGTCTCAAGATACTGGATCTGGCTATGGCAAAGCGACTTTATTGAAATAGCATGTTGGTATTTAAAACAATATTAATACTATATTTGATTCATTAAATATACAAAGGCAAGTTAAAGCGTTTCCATGTGTGCACTGTTAGTTCTGGCGGGAGGTTCTTCAGATGGTTTTATGTGGTTTCAGACAACATTTTAGCACATTCTTAAAATACCCACAAAAGCCTTTATGTAAAATCTCATAAAGGTGAACCACATAAAAATTATTTTTTTCCTGTTTCATGTCATTAGGATCAAAGTACAGTAGGTAAGAATAAATTTCCAAAAACCTTGTTTCGGTCCCTCTCTTAATTAATGTTTCATGCTCATAGCAAGCTCATAAAGTGGGTAATAGGGAAACTGTCTGTACACATTGTAATATTCTCAGTGGCTGCCAGTTCATTTTGAGTGAATTCACTTATTCTATATAGGAATATTTTTTTAAGCAGACTTGGGCTGGAAATGGACAATAGCTTCTGCTCTCTGGCCTTTGATTCATGCTGCCCTTCTGTGAAAGGAAGGGTCACTTAGACTGGAACTGAGGTTCACTGAGGGACTGAAATTCCCATTAACTGCATTCACAAATGGATTTTGGTTAATTCCCCCGGGGATATAAAAAGGGTGTTGGTTGGTTTGTTAGGTTTAAATTGCCTGTGCTGGAAGTCTGGCTTTAGCGTGCCTGTGGAGCAAAGGGCTTTCCTTTTTTAACGGTGTACTATCAGTGGTTTGACAAATGTCACAAGACAGTGCTGTGTGTGTCAGTTACTTAAATGCCCATACTAAGCTTGGTGATGAGTACCAGTAGTCACTCATTAAAAATAAAATCATGTGATGAATTAATACGAAGCCGTATACCCCTCTTGGGGTCAGCACTGTTTTTGATACAGGCTTGGATGCATGCAGTTAAAAAGAATTAGGGCTCTTTGGTGGCTCTGCCTTCTTGAAACAACATACTGGACTGATCTGTAAGTGCAGAGAATATGTTGAAAATTACCTGTGTTATTTGTATTAACTTCCCAATATCTTTTCTTCTGACTTGTAGAAAGGATGGCTTTAGTGTTCTTGAATCTACAATACTTGAAGCTAATACATGAAGTCCAAAATGCACAGTAAATCAAATCTGAAGTGCCATTAACAACTGTTAGGCTTGTGTTTAGAAAGGAGGGGAGAATGAAGGTGGGAGTGTTCAACAAGTTTTTCATGTTGGCGACGAGTGGTGCTTTCCTTTCTTGCAGAAGAGGAGAAACATGCAGTCACTTGCAGATCTGTGTGATCGTCTCACTCATGACAGTAAGAGGCAGGAACATAGGTTTAATCTGCATGACTCTCTCCTAGTTTAGCTGCTGGGAACTGTCAGTCATAGCAACTCCTTGTGTCTTCGGATGATGAGCTTTTGCTTTCCTTCAGACAGTGGATCCTCAGGTGTTTTGTCTGCTTTATGTATGTACTTGCAGAACAGCAGTAGGTGCTCAGAAGAGAGTAGAAATGTCTGACTGCTAAAATGTCTTGTCACTGATCTTCTGGCTCAGCTGAAGCTGCCTCCCCTCCTTTTCTCAGTTCTTCATGGGAGATGGTGATGCTGCACAGCATGAGTTCATTGCTGAGATCGAAGTTGTGTGCCATGAAAGAGTATTCCCTTTTGCTCGATTCACCTTATGGCTGTTTGGTAACTTGAGAATGGAAACAGTTGGTAAAATGCTGTGGGTTACAGTTTTGGTTTTCTAGGAGCCAAAATTGGCTCTGGTGCACCTTTGTTCCTACAGTGTTGAGTTGCTTATCATTATTTTAAGGTGCGTCTTCCGTCTGGCACATAAGGAGCCTAGCACTAGCGTTACAAAGCAGGAGTGGGGTTCTGCAGATGTCATTGCTTTGTTAGTTTTCTAAGAGTGTACCTTTTGCTACCAGAAACCTGAGATTTAGGTAGTCTTACTTTCCATTGTACACCATATCTGAAGCCAGAATAATACATAAACCTCAACAGCATCCCTTCGTTTTGAAGAACCTTGGTTTCAGTTCAGCTCTATTTGCAATAAATCAATAAGTCAGCTTCACACAAACTTTTGAGACGGCAGCATAAAGCTACTTACTTGATCCCTTTTGTCTTAATTAGCAGACTTTGTTGTAAAGAACTTCCAGATTTTCCCAATAGTGAGAGAAAAGGAGAGGGAATATAAAAAAAAAAAAAAAAAAAAAAATCAAAAACAAACCCAAACCAACCAACCAAAAAAAAAAACCAACACAAAACCAAAAAACAACTGCAAAATAAAGCCTTACTCTTGGCCTACTTTGTAGCTTGTGCTTTTACCAGCTGTTATAGTTAATTGGAATCAGAGGAATTGTTTGCTCAAGTACTGTAGAAATCTGTAGCTAGTTCTGTTTCTCACTAGACTTTTATTCTCCTTTAGAGAAATGTACAGTTTTTTGTAATTAAAGTCTCTGTATTATAAAATGATTTAAACTGCTGTGTTTCTAGGTATATAACTAGTGAGACTGTGCTGTCTTAAAAGAAGAAAGAAATCTTTACTGGGATAGAGAGATTCTGCTTATTTAAGATTATTATTGATATCTGACGCTGGCTTGGATCCTGCTTACTTTTAACATGCCTATTGGATTGCGTCCTGCAGGTATTTTGAAGGTGGAGTCTCCTCTGTCTACCTCTGGGATCTGGATCATGGTTTTGCCGGGGTGATCCTCATTAAGAAAGCTGGAGATGGATCAAAGAAGATTAAGGGATGCTGGGATTCCATCCACGTGGTGGAGGTTCAGGTACAGCCTCTGGGGCAGCTGATATACCTAAGTGAAAACAAAACCCGGTTAATTCCAGACAATTAACGAGCACAGGTGTTCCACTGAACAATGCAATATTGTGTTAGGGGCTGTAAACTTCTTTCCCCTGTTAATTTTTGAAAATTCCCTGAAGCCATTTGGATAGAGATAAGTCAGGGCTGTAATCAAAAAGAATCCCAGAAGAATTGAAACTATGCTACTTTCTGTGCATGTGATCCTGAGATTATTTTTTTAACATAAAGGTCTACAGATAAATATCACTAATTAGGTAATAAAAACAAGGTAATAGGAGGTTAAATTGCTCTAACTAGATTTGCTTTAGAAAATTAAGGGAATGTGCACATTTATAATTGTTTTTAAGAAACAGACTGTGCTATGAGAGTGAAGTTATGCGTATCTGTCCTGTTGCTTGTGGGGTCTTCCAGGCCAGCCACCGTTTAGTTTTTGCAGGGATTTTAACCTTTTGTCTCTATCCCTTTTAATTATCCTCCCACTTCTAGGAGAAATCCAGTGGTCGTACTGCTCATTACAAGCTGACCTCCACAGTGATGCTGTGGCTGCAGACTAATAAAACTGGTTCTGGTACCATGAACCTTGGAGGGAGCCTTACCAGACAGGTATGTCTGTATATTGGCACGAGTGTACGCTGCAGACCAAGGCATGCCTTTTCGTATTTATATACCCAGTATCCCCAGTCAGGCACAGAAAGTTGTTTTTTGTGAGGTGTTGTATAAACATCTATTCTCCTGCTGCATGTGCAGTCCAGCGAAACAGTTAATGCATAAGTGTGTAATTACCAGGAAGTCCCTTGAACTTTGCTTGATGGATATAAAACATTCAGTAGGAATTTAGACTTGCTTTTAAATCTTAGTTTGTCTTTTGGTATTAATAAATTTTTATATTTCTATATGTGTTACCCGGACAGATATTTTTATCTGTAAGATTTGCCCACTTTCTTACTGTAAGATTTGAATAGGATTATAAAAATACAAGATGACTTCTTCTGTTATTTCTCTCTTTTAAAAGGCAGATAGGCCAGTGAATGAACCTGTATTTTGCATTGACTATAGGATTCTTCTGTTCTTAAGGACATTGGTTATCTTTTAGTATCCTTCTTTAGTATTTTTCTCCTGCAGTACTAGGATGCTGATTTTAAAAAATCTCTTTAAAAAACCCCAAACCAACCTCTTCTAAACATTTGGGGGTTTCGTGCCAGTGTTAATTTCTTTGACTTTCTCTTGAGAGAGCAGTTTTCCTCAAGGAAGGTGCCAGACTGACTGTTCAGGCGATGCTGCTGTCTTAGTCTCTGACAGGCAGGATCTGCTGGACCTGACTTCACTGGGTGAAGGTGCTTCTGCCCCAGGCACCTGCCAAAGGTTGCTGTCTCCCTGCTTCATGCTGCGGATGAATTGCGGTTGCTCTAAAGAGCTGGACTGTGGAAATCAGTGACTCGAGCAGAGTAATAAACTCTGAAGGACAGGAGGCATATTGTGTGGTCATGAGTGACTAGAGAGATTGGCAGTAGCTAAAACTCCTTTATGAGACTTCCCAGGGCAGACTGTTGCTTTCGATACAAAGGACAATGCAGACTCTGTTAAACTCTTCATGGCTTTGTACAGGTTTGAGCCAGGTGAAGGAAAGAAGGATCTGTGATTGCAGAGAATATCTGAAATTGTGTTAGCATTGCAGTCGCAGAAGCTTGCCCTAGACCTTAGGTGATTTTTCTTTCCACGTCGTTGACTTACAGAAGAAGCTGATGGAAAAGTGTGTGGGGAGGAAAGGCATCTGGAGACAGTTTTGAGCGTTGCTTACTCTTAAAATGTTTGCAGTAATTACACCCGAGTTATGGTGACCCGGACAAATATTTAATCACAGGCCTTCCTAATACTTTAAATCATAGCTGTGAAGTGGAGGCCAAGGGCTTGACTCTGGCTGTGGCCTTATGGTGCGCGAGAGCTGTGCCAAGGAAAACAAGAGTCTGTTGAGAAGGGGTGTCCTCAGTACACCTTGGCCTGAACTGCTAGGCCTTGTTTAGTTTGACTTTCACTCTCTAAGCTTTAGTGGGGAGATTCATGCTTCTGTCATCATTTTAACAGCAGATCATTTAATTCATATGTGATGCATTAAAGCAGGGGCCTGTTTCCAATGTAAGTAACCATAAAAAAGCCACTGGGGTAATGATGCACTGCTTCTGCACAAACAATGGAAACTCGAGTTTCAGAATTTAGCTTTGGGCCGGAGATTTTCTGTTTGCAGATGCCATAGTAGGCTTAATGGGACAGGCTTCGTCAGAATCCACAGCAGAAAACTTAAATCTTCATGCAGCCTTGAGGTATGCTATGTGAGGAGGAGCTGTTTGTCCAGAGCCGTTTATTTAGCTGTAGCAGGACTGAACTCCTGAGTGCAAGGCTTTTACTTTGCTGTAAATCCAGTTTGCCACATCACCTAAGGACAGCCGGTTTTATTTTTACTTTTTGGTAGGCTTTTTATACAGTCTGCAACAAACTTCGGCACCAGAAGTAGGTTGTAGCTATCTCTTGAATGATATGTTGCAGTCTTACCTCGATGCTATCAGTAATCTGATGTCCTAACCATAATTTGCAAATAATTTTGTCCATGGTGAACAGTTTTGGTCAACTCAACATTTGAGCTACTTGACCACCTTTGATCCTAAAATGTGAAGAGCAGATGTCCTTGTGTTTCAGTGGAAGCTTTTGAAGTGTTCACAAGCTTTGTAATATCCTGGCTTACAAACTGATGGCAGAGAGAACCTTTCAGTGCTTTGAAAGGGAAGTCTGTTGAGAGCCATTACTTTGAAACCAGCTTCGCCTCGTAGCTGCAAACCGGGTATTTTTTGAGTGATGACTGGAATGATTAACTTGGTGGCCGGGAGCAGGCGCAAAGGAACAGCTAATGTAATGCCTCCGAATTCACCCCCTCTGGCAGCAACCGAGAGCTGGGCATGTCTCGCACTGAAATGCTATGGGGAGCATTTGCAACTTCATGTGGAAACACTTGCTCAGTAATTCCCCTTCCTAATGTCTGCAGATTACGCTCGGTGCACGTAATCAAGCAATCCTGTTTGTTCTTCTGTGAATGGACAATGTGGTAGAGCTGGAACTTGGATCTAGAAGTAAGAGTCTAGAAATAGCTGTTCTCTGCTGTCATTTCCCGTTGGTGAAATATTGTTGCCCTGCATCAGACACAAATATGGGGTTTTCTGTTGCCTTTGTCAAGACTGTGTGGAAAAACTTGCCTTCGCATTTCTCGAGTCTCCCCAGACTCTTGTTACTACAGGGCTCCCACTTAGGCTATTCCTTAATGTTTCACTGAGTTTCTAAGAATTAATTTTTTCTCTCTCTCTCCAAGACACCGTGTATTTGAGTGTTCTTGCACTTGGCTTGGGGCCACGTGATGTTACACTCTGGGTAGATACTACTTAGAGGTCATGTCCCTAGCCTATGTCTACTTTAGTGTCACATGCTGAGAATTGACACATCTCTTCTGATTCATTGAATTACCTCTTTCAGTGGTTTTCCCAATGCAGTTTTTCACGGGAGTTGTCTCTGCCTTAGTTTATAAGGGGAAAGCAACTGTACAAGCATTTCACATTTGTAAGTGGACAGAATAAGGAAAGAGAGGGAGAGACATGGTAGACAGAGGAGTCAGCCTGTTTTAAGAAGTTGAAAACCTCCTTTGTGTAACTTTTAATTTACTTCACCTGGTGGTTTTCAGAGTGAGAAGGTCAGGATTTTGCTTTACCGCTTCAGTTCTGAAAGTTTCTTTTAAAGAGCTGGAGTTACAGACAAATTGAAATAAAATGTCACACGATGTGTTTTGAACGGAGTTTTGGATTTTGGTTTTGTTTAAAATGTAGCGTGTCAGATTGTGTCCTGATTCAATAGAGAAACATGTGCATATACACACACAAGTATAAAACACAAGTGTATGTATTGTGATATATATCACTTTACATACTTTATGTATGTGTGTAATTGATGTATATATCTGTATGTATAAACTCTTATTATGAGAGGGTGAGAGAAATTCTTAGCCAGCTCCATGCATGTAAGATCCATAGATCATAATTTCGGTCTGCAAACTGAGAGAGAATTAAAGCTTAAGTGACATCTTCACATTGGACACTTGATTAGATCATGGTTGAAGCAGTCCTTTGGTATGGAAGAACACTTGTCCTTTTGCCTAGTGAAGGTTTTGTTTGACTCTTTAGCTTTGTGTTGTTGAATCATGATCTTTATGTTGTTATACATAAATACTGACACGGTGTATGTAACCATCTCTGTTTTGACTCCAAAGGAGTCAAGAAGAACTTTTTGGTGGAACTGGAAGGAGAAAGCTGACTCTTTTTTTTTTTTTTTTTTCCCTTGTTATTATCCTCCCCCAAGAGGCATGCAATGTCAGATAGAGAATTTCTATTTTTACAGTTGCCTAAACAAGGGTGCTCTTCTAGACAGTCTGTTCTGGAGACGAGCCTGGATGCAACTCAAGAGAGCTCGGAATCGAAGCACCACAGGCCAGGATGGAGCAAGTAACTCCCAGCTCACGTCAGACACTGGCAGGCTGCAGTCAATACAGGGACTGAGGCTGGAATTCGGGTAGGGAAGGAGCGATCGGCGTGTTAAATGCCGCCTGCCTCGACGAGGGGCGCGGATTGAAGTGCTGTACGTCTGAGAGGAAAGGACAGGACATGCTACCTTCCATTTACAACAAAGGGAGCAATGCTTGCAGGGAAATGAAAAATGCCAGCAGCTTTTTAATTACGTTGCACGTTCTCCAGTGACTGCAGGTAACTCCCACCCCCATCCTGATTCAAGCCAGATGCTTGGCAGATGATTTTCTCTCTGACAGACGTTAGGGTCCCGTCCTCTTTGTGTACATTGGAATTACTTGTGTCGTTTGCCACGGCACTGTATTGCTTTGGCTGTATTTTGAGGTTTCAGTAGGCTGCACTTTTAAGGTAAGAGCAGCTGTATGATCCTGTTTCATTTTATGCAAAGTAGATGTAGCCTTCCTGTTTTCTGGCAAATAGTCAAAACTGCACTTTGGACAGATTTCTGGAGCCCCCTCCTTAAAAGCAAGACTAACAGGTGCCTTTCTGGGATCTCATTGCACACAAAGAACCTGTGTGTGTTTTCTAAGCCAGGATGGACACTGTGAGGAAGTGCAAGTTTGCTGAGAAAGAAGTTGGCTCAAAACCTTTGGTTTATTTACATATGGAGGTGTGGGAAGGGGAGGTTATAAAGTAGTAGGGGAAGCAAAGCCTGGGATTTCAGATTAAAGCTGCACAGATGTGTGTTGATTTTCATACTTGAAATACTCTCTAGCGAAGGTGGAATGTTTTGCAGAGCTGGATGAAGGCTGGTCTGCTGAGCTCTCCCTGCTTTTGGGAAGATGTGCCCTGTGATATATTACTGCTCAATAAAACACCAGCAGAGACATTCTGCCATTTATCATAATAGGTAAATCTTCTGAGGCTTGTGCTGTGCAATTAGGAGAGTCATAGATTTTCATCAAGTTGAGCTTTCATGTAAAGGCCTATCCCACCGACTTCCAGATGCCGCAGCATTAAGCAGGGCATTGGGGAGTGGTTTTTTTACCAGAGGGATCTTCAAATTGTAGCTGTCACGATCTTTAAGCTCCCCCTTAGCAGTTGTCTGGTTTCCTGGAGGCACTGTCTCTTTAATTGCTCATTGAGTAGCATTTTGGGGTGCAGAGGATAGCAGAGATGTACTGAACACTAATTGTCCAGGAAATTATTTCTGCTTCACATGAACAGATGGATTGTACAGTGGTTCAGTTATGTAACAGCTGGTTTAGAAAAAGAAGGGTTGAGCACGTATGGACTAGTGGCATAGAGAGCTGATGTAACATCCCCAGATCTGCTCTTGATTTTGAATGTACAGTTTGGTAAAGGATAGGGGATACCTTTGGTTACACTGATTAGAGTAAATATACATGAAGGCCATGAAAGGATGAGGTAAGTCCTCGGCTGATTTCTGTAAAGCTGCAAGCTCCATAGAGCTCCCAACCTTCATTTATCTAGTTACAGTTTGAAATAAGCATTGGAGAGAGAGGCCAAATTTTGCCTCACTGATATCCAAATAGTTCCACATATTTTCCACCTGGAGACTTCGGTCTGCCCACCGCCTGTGGCTTGGGAGCCTTTGGCTCTCATTGGTCTGCTTGTGTTTCATTAAAGAGATTTTCATGTCATGCTGTGGCCAGAGCAGCTGCGGATGATGTTGTCAGTTCTTCAGAGCAAAATGGTGGAAGAGTTTCCTTCTTATCTTTCTAGTATTTTTAGACACTTTCACGATGAACCACAGTGTTTATCTGACTTCAGTTTCTCTCTTTGTATTAACTCTTCCTCCAACTAACATTTGCAGAAAGCCCAAACAGCTGCTATATTCCATGCAGGAAACATCCAAAGTGACCAGCCAGCCATCGAGAGCTTAATATACCCAGAAGAGTGAGTTTCCCTCTGAGTCAGACTTGCAGCAGATGGCTGGGGAAGTGAGGCAAGGAAGCCAGGCAGCGGATCTCTCGAACGGGAGAGGAGCGACTGAGCCATGTAGATTGGATTTGGCTCATTCTAGAGCGCTAGGTTTTTTGGCTGAGCTCAACAGCAGATGGGGAGTGACAGTGGGAAGATGAGCTGCTTGTTAACATCAACTTACAGAATGGAATTTCCCCTCAAAGTAAATTAACCCCTTTATTTAAGCAGCTATGGGCTTTCTGCTTAGGTCCGTGCAGTAACAGCCGCCGGAAGGAACCTTTAAAAATCCCAGCAACTCTGCTGTTTGTATAACATGGCTGCTTACTGACTCTGAACTCCATTAAAACAGCCTCTCGTAACATCTGGGCTTCTATAGCATATAAAAATGTTTTCCTTCTGGCAGCAGTTTTTATGGAGATGTAATAATATACGTTTTGCAAAAAAAAAAATAATTCTATTTTCAGATTCTGCTTCTTACCAACGAGCTCGGCCTGTCCAGGTGTGGAGGAGAGGCTGTAGGGAGCCTGTGGAAGCAAATGACCCGCTGCCAGCTCCCCGGCTGCCCCAGATTTGGTCAATTTGCCGATAGTTCCCAAACTCACTGTAACACGTCTCTGTGTGTTTGCATAGTTCAGATTTATATTCTCCCTCCACTGCAACTGGATCTGTTCTCCAGGCAGCATGTCTCCATTACATGTAAACAATCTGACTGCAATCTAAAGGCAAAATTAAACGTCCTTGTTCTCTTTCTCCCCCTCTTCTGGGTTATCTTTTGCCTTCGGGGTTCCAACTAAATTACACGCTTCCCCAAGCCTGTTAGAGACTTGGCTTATTAGATGAAACCTGTAGCTGGCCCAGATTTTTAAAATCTACCCTGAGGGAGGGATATGAACAGATGGATAAGAGAATTCAGTGAGATTAGTAAAAGCCTTTGAAGACAGTTCTTCCCACTACATTTTTTTTTTTCCCCCAGTTTTGTTTTCATGCCATCTCAGCACATCTTGTATCAGTTGAGGTTCCTGGGACTGATGTTGATTGTTCAACAGCTTGCCTGTGTCTGGCCAGAGTTTTCATTCCAAGAACCGGAGAAGACGGTCTTTTCCCTAGCCCAGATCATGGATGGTCAGCCGTGGCCTCTGGACGGGCATTCTACAGGCCAGAGTCAGATGAAATAAAGCAAGGATTGCATTTGGCAGTACCAGCTCCCCGTTTTTGATGTTGGTGATGAAAAATCTCACCTCGTTCAGGCACCTGTCTCCTGTTCAGATACCACACTAAGAGCGCGGTAGCATTATTACACTTATGTTGATCCAACTCTGATTTTTGTACCGTGAAAGGAAGCCTGTTTGTTTCCCTCCATCCTTACGGCTTTGTACTTCCTTCCACCTAACAGTTAGGTAAATGCAAAAAGAACGAACAACTACGAACTGTCAAATTTCTCTTTCCGTATTATGGCAGCGGTTTAAATCTTCACCAGTCTTGCAGGTAGTTGTGAGTTTTGTGTTCTCTGCACCTTCCCTCCCTACTGGAAGGTAAATATTGCCTAAGGTGTCCTTTGCCAGGAGATCCTGAAAATGGAGAATGTGTCCCATGTGTGGTCGGAAGCTGTGTTTGAGATGAAGATTAAAAGAAACAGCTGGTTTTGCAAGGATAGTTCACAGCTGCTAGGCTGACAGCACCATCCTTGTGTGCATCTCCTCAACCACCACCTTGTTTTCCTGTCCACATGCTGTGCCTCTTGTCATGGTACACGTGCACTACTGTAGAGCTCCTGCAGCCCCTTAGTAGGTAGGGAATGATGATTTTGTAGTGCTTACTTTGATTCATGGGTTTTATTACACTACGTTTCTGTTACCAACGTGTGAGCCTCTGTCAAGTTCTGAGAATTTCTCCGTATGTTACTAGTCTGCACATTGGAAGAGAAGTTACTCTCGGATTTTGAGACCCACTTCTTCCATCCCTTCTTTTGGTAAGGAAAGCCGTCCTGCATCTACCGTCAGATTTCCATGTTACCAGTGGACCTGTGTCTTTCCTTTCTAGATGGAGAAAGATGAGACTGTGAGCGACTCCTCTCCACACATAGCCAATATCGGACGCTTGGTAGAGGTAAGCGCTGTGAAGCCACCACAGCTTGAACCTGCTGCAGATTCTCTTGCCTGTATTTGGTCCCAGGTCTAAGAATTTGGTTGTGTACTTGCTTTTTGTCCTTACAAACAAGTTACTGATTCCTCTTGTGTCGGGTCTAATCGTGCTATCGTTGTTGCCCAGTGTTTGATGGCTCAGTACTCCTCCTGTCGTGTCTCCCAACAGTTTGTAGATACAGAAAACTCCAGTCTGCAGGTCGTCTCCTGCTCATCACAGCAATAACCTTCCTGTAAAATAAATGGGCCTTTCCTCAAAACTAGTTAACAATTTCCTGCCCCCATGCCGCTACAGTCACGTTGGGGCAGAATTATTTCAAGTCAGGTTGTGCTATATACAAAACTGTCCTTTAACTGGAAGCTCAGTGTGTATCAAGTGCTTATTGAATCCACTGGAATTGTTTTTAGTATTTGATTTTATGGCAGCTGTCAGTCATGTAGCTCAGCAGGATGAGTGAAGGATGGGATTGTGTTAGCTGCTCCGAAGGGCTTTGGTGCAGCAGCAGTTTGCTGTTTCTGTGCACTGTCCTGTATGAAAGTGTTCTTGATTTCCTTGATCTTCGTAGCCGCTTTGGCAAAAGAAGAGGAAATTCTCAGCTAAAATAGATTATAATGCTTTGTTAAAGGAGCTGGGAAATGAAGACAGGTACTTCTTTGCTAAGTTTTTGGCTTGAGTGAAAGTGACCTAAAGAAAAAATGCTGCTTATTTACAAGATCTTTCTCAAAACTGTTTGCCAGGCAGTTTCAATGAACGAGTCGCCAGCTCAAAAATTCAAAGGAACCCACAAGCACAAAACTGTTGACCTGTTGGTTACATGAAGTGACTGACTTGCCACTTGTAGTCCGTTCAGTGCCAGGAAATTACAGAGTGAGGCTGGGGTGAAATGCATTTTCCTTTTCTGCAGCTGAATGCAGAAAAACTGATAGCTGGGCAGAAACTGCCCTCTCGTGGACCAGAGCGACATCTCAGCCTGGAGTAATTAATTGGCAGGAGAGGACAGGAATGGAGCTAAGCCTTTATTTCATTCATAAGAGCAGAGAGATAGGGTCATGCTGCCTCCTGTGAGGATCTAAATAGTAGGAATACCCTGGGTTGAAGCATGCTGTGGCAAGTGTTGGATGTCAAGATGAACACGTACAACGCACAGGAGAGTGTCAGCGCCCCGTTCCTGGAAACAGCTGACATGACTGAAGATCCGATTTCTTTCTTTTTTCTAGGACATGGAAAACAAAATCAGAAGTACACTGAATGAGATTTATTTTGGAAAAACAAAGGACATCGTTAATGGGCTGAGGTAAGGGGCTCTCCAGCTGACTACGGGACCCCCTTCACTTCCCTGCTCCCCTGCAGTGCCTGTGGTACTTTCCCCAGCCGAGCACTCATCTGCTTTTGTTTGCTGGAACTCCCCTTGCCCACACAAAGTCTTTTTGTGTCCCTAATCGTTCACCTCGCTGTGCTTTGGGAACAATATTTGTTGTGTGGAGTTTAGGGAGCACTTCTATCTTGCAACTAGAAATTCGAAGCCGTGTTTTAATCCCTTGTTTCCTCACCAGGAAGAAAACAGCCCAATTAGCAACACTTGTATTCCAGAATTATTTTTAATTAGGGGTTTTATTCTTCACGGTCGTGAAAGTTGTACTTAAGTTCTGACTTCACTTTCTACTAGTCTTAAAAACAGTCAGTTGGTCCCAGAATTAAATAATGGCATTAATGGTTTGCGGTATTTAGACTTTGGTTTAAACTGTGTTTTCTCTCAACACCGTTGGTTAAAATCTAGTGTACTAGAACAGATTAAGTGAATAAACCCCCTGTGCCTTTCTGTAGGGAAACTGTACAGTACTTTTCAACCACTGCTCATTTCTGGCCAGGAATTTTGCATAGAAATCCCAAGCTGGTAGTTCTCGTGCTCACAGAAGAAAGTACAGAACTGTGACGCCAAACCGTTTCGTTTTAAACTGCAGATAGACCTCCTAGCACACAGTGATCATGTAGAATAAACAAGTGGGGCAAATAAGTATGCTGCTGTTCTCTCGTGTACTGAAATGTGAAAGAAGATAGAATAATGGTGCTAATTAAATATTTGAGCTGCCTTCTTAACAGCATGGTCGGAGGGAGTCAACCATATCTGAGAAAGCAGCTGGTCTGTTTTTTTTTTTTTTTCCAAACCCCAGCTTTCATAACAGGCCTCTATTTTCATTTGTGGTGTGCAGGGGTTTAGCCAGGAAGCATTTATTAACGTTAAAAGGAACTATGTAATACAGTCGTTTTCCTTGTGAACATTGCCTTAAGCGTTTGTAATTGAATCTGTTTCCTATGTCTCCCCATCGCTCAGTTTGAGTCACGATACTTTGTGCCTCGGTGAGATGATCTGCTCAGAACTGGTAACATACAGAGCATCTGGCTTCGGCTTCTCCTCCAGCCTTTTTCCTGTCTCTTTTAACCTATGTTATTTACACTTATTCTTCCTGAGCGTGCTCCTGGTGGTTGCCAGAATTACCAGCTCTGTGTTACTGCGTTCTTCTGACTCTTCTTTTCCCTGTTTACTTCCCTCGTTTCTAAACTGCTCTCTGTAGATCTATTGACGCTATCCCCGACAACCAAAAGTATAAGCAGTTGCAGAGGGAGCTTTCTCAAGTGTTGACCCAGCGCCAGATCTACATCCAGCCTGATAACTAAACCAATCCAGGTACCCCCCGCCTGTGAGGTGTGACAACCAGCACTAAACCAGGACTCACCCAGCCAAGACCTCTGCATGATAACCGAGACCAGAACTAACCCCTAACCCCCGCAGACTGAGAAACGACATGTGATCCGTGTTTCACCCAAGGGTTACTTCTTAATACGGCCAACTAAATGCTGTGATTTTTATGTTAAATGGTACTCCACCCCTTCCCCCCCAGTTGAAATATCATGCTCTGCAGTGTGGCAGGATTTTTACCACTTTGCACTCTAGCTTGGGAGCAAAAAAGGAGCACGTGGTCGCGTACCCGGAGTGCTGGTAGCTTGGACTGATTCGATCCAGGGGCCCCGGGACTCTGTCCCTTGTGCACCATCAGTTTTTTACAGCTGTGGCACATGACTTCGGTGAAGAAACTCCCTGTAATCTTAGTGTCTTCCCTGCAGAAAGGAATGAAATCTTGGAAGTCTTACAGTTTTGGGGAGAAAAAAAAAAAAAAAAAATTAAAAAATGACCGGTACTTCCTGTGACTTCCGAGTAAATGTGAGCTCACCCTGGATGTACATCCCCCGTTTGCCTGGTGTGTCTTCAATTTCCTTGGAGCTTGAAATTGAGTCCTGCTCAAGCTCTGCTGAAACCTCTCTAGCCTCCACGTGCCTGTGCTCTGCACAGCCTCTAAAGGAATTTGTTTGTATGCTCCCATTTGCTCTGGAGCTCCGAATGCCTAGGACACATGGCAGTGACTAACCCCCAGCCAGTTTAACCTTCCACTCCAATTCATAATGAGTTACAGATGGTGTCTTAAACACGTTAAGCTGACGAAGGGGAAAATGCACTATTTGTTGACAATGGCCAAGAACCACTTCTTTAGCCTGTGATAAATGCAAATATATAATGTATATACTTTTATTAAAGCAGCAGAAGTCTCCAGAGACAAGAGAATGGAAATACTGTTATGAAAATGTTAGGAAAATAACTGACACAAAGAGCAGCCTTATTTACAGGAGACGGCATCCTGGCAAAATAAGGTCACTTTGAGTGCTGAAAAGGGTGTGAAATATGGTTTATGTAGGGAGGAATCCTACCAAACTGGATCCTAACCACTTCTCAGTGGTAACAACTCCAGAAAAGTCTAGCAGTAGTATTCTATCCGTGATTATATTTAAGAGGGCTTTTTTAAAAGTGGAAATTTCTTATTGTACCATTGAAAACGGAGGTTCCTCCGCAACCCTCTTAGAGGACAGTGAGCTCAAGCTGACTCCTAAAAGATGGAGCTTTTCTTCTGTAACCAAACTTCTAGCAAAAGGGAACCCCTGCACTAACCTTGCTGACAGAATCCCTGTTCTTCTTCGGCTGCTTCGACTCACTGGTTACTCTAGGTAAGGTACAAACTGGAAAAGCAAATTCGAGAACAGAACCCGGCCGCTGTTCCCACTGGCGCGTCCGCTGGAGGGAGGTTCTGACGTGGCCGCTCGCCCCTGGGTGAACAGTCTGCAAAAAGGTTCCGCCTGGCCCTTTACACCTTCGGGGGTAGAGGCTGGACTTTCTCTGCCTTCCCGGCAGGGCGAGGGCGCTAACCCCCTGCGCTGGTGGCACACTGGGGTTTTTCCAACCCGTGACGTAAAATATCGGGGATCTCCCTCCAGCGACCGGAGGCCGAGCGGAGCTTCGGGGGCAGCGTGTCTTTTGGTGCCGTCCTTGCTAGAGTGAGTTTTGCTTTGATCCACTCACCGAACGTGTTCACTTTGCCTCCCGCTTTCCATATTAAAACAGGCGAGCTGAGTTTTGTTTCCTCTAAGCCTGGGCTGAGGTGCTTCTCCTTCCTGCTGACTCACGCGCCAGAAGAGCTGTTAAAGGCACCTTCTCTCGGGTGCATCGCCTCTGACTTGCGTTTCCTTCTTCCCCCACAGGTCTGTGCAGACTTTTGCAGACAAATCAAAACAAGAAGCTCTTAAAAACGACCTGGTGGAGGCTTTGAAGAGAAAGCAGCAAAGTTAAAATACTCTTCATGCTAACAAGACATGCCATGCACTCGTTAGATTCCTTTCTTAGAAAACTCATCCCCCCCCCCCCCCTTGCCCTTTTCTGTTACGTCACGTCACAATTTGCATTCAGTACTCTCCATGCAACGCCATCTTCTCCCCATGAATAAAGCAGTACAAACTTTTTCAGTCTCTGAGGCCTACTTTGCACCACATTTTACTATTGAGACCTTAGGCTACGTTTCTGTAGAAGTCCATGTATTTTTTTCCCCTCCCTTGTCCACCCCCCCCCATTTATATGCATCAACACAGATCATTGTTTGTCTTTTCCTCCCCACCTTCTCCTGCCTTTTGTTACATTGGTGTAAAAAATGTAAAACAAAAATTTATTAAATACTGTGGTGTGTGAAAGAGGAAGAACTGGAAAAAAGAAAAAAAATAAATCTATTCCACGTATGTTTGGGGGCTGGGCACAGGGGACGGCTGGCGGGAGGGAGGGAAGAGAGGGTGTTTCCTCAGTGTTGTACTATACTGACTAAACCAGATTTGCAAGGAGACATTGATTAGGAGACCTGCTGAAAGTTCTGCTCTTCTATAGCCTGGTTCCAAGGCGCTTTTCTGTCAATTTTTATGGAATGCAAAAGGGGTTTTTGTTTTGATTTTGTTTTTTGTAAAGCTTAAATTGACTCTACATCTGATACTTGAGCCTCCATACTTAAACAAAAAAAAAAAAAGTAAAAAAAGAATAAAAGAAAAAAATAAAAATAAAAAAAAATAATCCCAGGAAGCAGTGTGTGCAGTTGGTGGTGTCCTTTCTCCTTCCTCCTGTGCAGTGTCTCGGGGTTTGTGCTGAGCACCCTTCCCTCGGTGCCCCTGGGAGCACAGGCGGGCGCTTGAAAACAAAGGCAAAGGCCGAGCACACGCCTGACCCAAAGGGCTGCTGGACTCTGTGGCCACAGAAAGCAAGAAAGTTGGGGTGTGTTTTGTTGTTTTTGTTTTTTTTTTTTTTTTCTTGTCAGATCCAGATTAGCAGAAACTTTTCTGAAGGGGGGTGTGCTGTGCGGCTGCTCCGCGGAGGTGGAGCGGCAGGCGGCTGCGCTGGCGGGTGGATGTGCTCAGAGGAGAAGGCTCAGCCCAGCGGTCCTGGCCGTGTTAAAAAAAAGAGTCTGGGGGGGCACCTGTGTGTTAAAACACTCCGGTGGGCAGAGCGGCGACGTTTCGGTTCGCTTGGCAGTTTGAGGCGGGGGGGTCCAGCCGGCGATGCTCGCCCCGCAGCTCCTCTGCCTGCTCCCTGGGGGATTTGTGGACTTCATCCAGACTATCCCCGTCTTTAAGCCCTTGGTGCTCAGAGGGTCCTTGCACAGCGTCAGGTCCTGTGCTTTGGTTGTAACAAGCTCAACCCTGGCACAATTGAGAAAGCAAATACCTGCCGGGCTCTTCCTGCACGTGGCCGTTGGAGTTGGCCTTTGGGTGAACCTGTGCAAATGGAGACTGTTGGCATTAATATTGATTAACACGCTCTAATTTTGCTTTTTTAATGTGACCTGTTTCACATCCAGACATCTGCAGGTGATTACGGTCCCGTGCCAGAGCGTTTGCCCGGGGGCCTCCCGTCCGTAACGCGGCTCGCGCGGGACGCGGGCTGGGGAAAGCAGCACACGTGCCTCAGGGCTGGGAGCCCAAGGGGAGCACGTTCAGCTTTTTGTCATCGTTGCTTCTTGGATCTGTCCTAGGAAAAACCTTTTTTTGAAGTTGGAGATGGGTTTGCATGAACTCTTGAAGCTCGGAAAGCAGCGTGTCAGCCCAGGAGGGGGGAGGCTCCTGGTTCCTCTTGCCTGTTTCCAACGGTCGCGTGCTAAAGTTATTTGGGCTTTTTTTTTTTTTTTTTGGGGGGGGGGGGGGGCGGGGAGAGCTGTTTTCCTTCTCCAAAGCCATCTTGGTGCACATGAGCCAAAAATGGAAACGTCTCCTCTCAGATTTTGGGGCATGTGGAGCCGCCCTCGCTGCTGGTGCGCAGGGCTGTGCCCTTCCCGCCGAGCGAGCTGCCGGATCGGTGCAGCTCCAGCCCGTTTATTCCTCTTTCTCTTCTCAAAATGCTGCCACCCGATGGCTCGGGTACGAACCTCCAGCTCTGGCTTGGCTGCTGCAGCCCCGAGCCTACCACTGAGTTACGTTTAGTGCTTTGGGCCAAGTGGTTTCTGGCCCGTGCCTTTCCCGGTTTAACACTTGCCCCTGCGGTATCTTAAATGGCAAGCTCTTGGGGACAGGGCTGCACTGAGGTCAGAGGGATGAGGACCTCAGCGAGAGCCTCTTTGCAACACGAATTTCCATCCACCGCCAGCTCGATGGCTGCTGGTGTGTAAACTCCATCTGCCAAATGCAGCTGCTTGCCTTGCCTCACCTTACCCGAGCAAAAAAATCAGTAAATGGACTCGACTTTATCTGTGCTTTGCATACACCTGTGGGAACAGACTCTATGTTATATATATTTTTACCTGCTTATGTCAGAGCCTCTTTGTCTAGCTTTAAGAAAAGCCCTTGGTTAGTCAGTACGTGGCAATTATTTAGTGTTGTGAACGGCAGAGATGAGGCTTGCTCTTTGTTTCTGCAAGGTAGGGGTGCTGAATCCCACCCTATCCCCCGGCCGTAGGTCAGCTGTGTAAATCCAGCTCTCAGTAAACCAACTGTGCCTTCCCCGGCACGCCAGGGCTGAGCTAGCCAACATGAGCCGAGGTTAAAAACCACCCCTTTAATTAAATCAAGCCCCTGGGTTTTTATCGGTAACGAATAGGTATTGAGGTGTAACGAAGCTGTGCCTCCTGTCTCGCTAGGAATCTGCTTGTGGTTTGTAGTAGTACTGGATGTGAATTGTTTTGCTGCAATTCCTAGGGAAAGGCAGCAGCGGAAATCCTGCCGGGTTAAGGATGGGGAAGAGGTGAGCAGCCCCACTGACCCAGAGAACTGTGAATTAATGGAGTGAAAAAGCCCCCAGCTGACCAGAGGGGTCAAAGAACCTGAAAAAAATAGTGGATTTCTAAAAACAAAGGGCTCAGCTCCAACTGCGCGCAAGGCCAAACGTCATGGGACTGGCTGAGGAACCTTAAATTAGTGATAATACGGCTAAAGCCAAAAGGGGCACGGAGCGGGGTGCTGGGCGGGTGGGCAGCGGGGAAGTGTTGGGTGTCAGGAAAGGACCTGGAGGGGGAAAAAAGGGGAGCAAAACCAGCCAAGACTGACTGCAGGAAAAGGAAAGTTCTCGTTTTTAGAAGGATAAGTTGTGTGAGCCTTTCTTGGTTGGTTTTCCGCCCCAGCAGAGACAGCTCAGCCCAGGGGAAGGAGCCCACGGGGCCGGGCTGAGGCTCCCCCTGCCCACCCGAGAGCAGCTCTCCTGCCGGGGACGGGGCTTCTCCCAAACCGCTGCTGCTTCCAGTCCCTCTGCCATCCGGGAGCCGCCGTGCTGGCGTGCAGGGCCCCAAGAGAGGGATAAATTCATCAACGAGAGAGGGCAGGACCGATAAACCAGACCGAGCAGAGAGACAGCATCTTCTGCCTGCTTAACCGTCCCCGCAGGTAACCAGAAAGTGATGGAGCAACTTCCCCAAGAAATCCATGCAATTGAAAGGGGAGTGAAGCAAAAAAGGAGAAGTCTGAGGAATGGGGACTAGGAGATGCATTAAGAAAGAGGCAGGAGCTGCCAGGCAAAACAAAACCAAAGGAGGCACGTGGGGCACAGGCTTGTTTTATAGACGTGTGAGTCGTGCTAATTAAAATAGGCGTGCGTGGACTGAAACACTTTGGTGACGCTGCTCCTTCCTTCTGAACGGGTTCCAGTCACTGCCGTATCTTCCAGAAAGAGATCAGCGGTGGAGACGTGAGGCTCACAGAGGTAAGGGCTGCTCGTGTTCACAGCAGGTCGGTCATCTCTGTGTCCCCCCCACAGCCCCTTAGGCTCTTCCCCCATTTCCCAGTACTGGGGAAGCTCCAGATCACCCCCGAGAGACAGCAGGTAAAGCAGAAGAGAAGGGGCTCGGCTGCGGGGCGTAAGAGCAGCGAAGAGTGACCTTTTGAGGTATCAAATAATCCCCTGTTTATCCCAAAGGCATCACTGGTATCGAAGAGGCACGAGGTCTCTCACCAGCACCCTCGGCTGCCCGGCTGGGCTCAGCCTCTTGGCAGCGGATCCTCTTCTCCCAGGAGCCACCAGGATGGCAGGGCCGATTTGCCCGGCATTAAGGCCAGATTTCTCATCTGCATCATCCTGTTCTCACTCCAGGGCAGGTCCCTTCATCAGCTCTCCAAGCTCTCACCCTGCTCGCCGAGAAGAGGATCCCTCTCTTCAGGAGTATCAGGTCTTTTCCGATAAAGGAAGAACTGGAGGGAGATCTGGGAAGAGGTTAAGGCTCTTCACACAAACAAGGGTGGATCTGTATGATGTGTTGGGTCTCCCCACCCAAAAAAAGGCTGTTTGTGCCAGGAGAGGTGCAAACAAGACAATGACCTTAATGCAGTCGAGGGGCTGAAGCATTCAGCTGTTGCCATACCATAAATTACTCACTGGCATGCGGGTGAGCAAGCACAGTTCGAAAGCATCTGCTGAGTAGCATCAACCCATCACCGCTCCCTCACCGGCGGGATGCGATCCTGGAGGGAAGGGTTGGTGGGGAAAGGATACAACCATGTCAAGGAAAAGGACGCCCAGGCTGCCCACCAGCCAGGGGAGGTGGTGCAGGACGTAGTCGCCTTTGCCTTGCCCCGGCTCGGGGTTTTTCAGGAGGACGCTGATGCCGTAGAGCGAGTTCCCCAGCATCACCAGGGCAAAGAGGGAGTAGGAGACGCCCACGGTGGATCTCCTCTTGTACTGGAAGGAGAGAGGAGCTTGGGTGCAGCTCTCCGAAATCTCACTAGAAAGTAGTATTAATCACCCACCCTTTTCCCAAAAAGAGATGGTGACTCAATGCCAAGAGCTTTTTAGCTCTCATTTTGCTTGTAAAAAAAGACAAAAATGAAAGCCTCAAAATACTGGTATGTTAAGGGGAGAAAAGAAAAATTAATCAGGTTTCAGAGCAGAAATACAGAACAACAGTCCCTTACGAAATGATCAGAGGCAGGGACCTGGGACCTCTGAGCAAAGAGGAGAAAGGTGATCCCACCACCCCTCATCAATTCGAAATCTCAGGAGCCCCAGGGGGTCCCCAGGACCGAGCCGCTGCCCCGTCCCGCTCACGGCACGGCACTTACGTTAGTGTAGATCTGGGGGATTCGGGAGCCCAGGTACAGCACGGAGGAGATGGAGCCGATGGTGAAGCCAAGGATCTCTTTCCTGGTGAACGGCTGCAAGGCAAGGGGGGGGCAGGGGGGTTAGAGCCCCCATGTTTTCAGACACTCTGACCTCCCACACCCCGGCTCCGGGCGAGGCGACAGTGGGGCCAACCCCACCCTCTGACCTCCCCATCCACCCCTCGCCCCGCTGAGCATTCAGCAGGAGCACACAGGACATGCCCACCCCACCGGACGCTTTATCTTCCCTTTCCCCCATCCCCTGGGTTTAGGAACCAGCTCACCTTCGACCCAAGCCCATCCACGTGAGCAGACAGCAGAGACCTCCCTTTAAACGTCGCCGGGTCCTGCGCCACGGCAGCACCTCTGCCCAGGAAGGAGACGGTTGACGCCGTCCACAGGGAAAAGAAGACGAAGGCTGCGTTGATGGGGGCAGCGACTGCGGGGAATCAAGCAGAGGCTGGTTAGGGAGAGCCCCCCCGCCAGCCCCGCAGCCTCGGTGGGTGCCAGGACCCCCCCCGGGTAACGAGGCCTCCAAGCTCCCTCTTATCTCCGCGGCGGCGCAGCCGGCACCGAGTAACTGGGGCAATAGCTGCCGCCGGCGTTTTATCTCGCAGGGACATGGGCAATTTGTAAGTTATCAGGGAGGAAACGGCTCCTATCACAGCAGGCTGGGTTTCTTTGGGTCTAGGGCTCTTAAAAATCATGCCCTCCATCTAGAAACTCATCACTGTCTAAACTGACAACAGCGCACGTTCCAATCCCTGCCAAACCAAGCCCCGCTTCGACAGCAAGACTTATATTATATTCTGTAACCAAGCTCGCCGGCAGTACCAAAACCACATAGCTGATGGGCCAAATATCAACTGATTTCATCAGTTCAAATGGCTTTAATAAGTTAAATCATTATCAAGGTCCCAAGGGATGCTTGTTTGTAGTTCACAGAAAGCTGCAGTGCTAAAAAGCGATTTTTCCTCTTGCTGTTTAAGCTTTGCAAGAACTGTTCAGGTTCCCTTTTTACACCATTTGAACAGGGAGGAACTTCATCACATCAAGGCTGCCATTAATTGCAAGAGGAGCGCTGACCCTGAGACAGTCAGAGAACTTCACCCTTCCCTCAAAGCGCCGGCCTGAGTCAAGAGCTCTGGCTGTGGTTTCCAGCTCCAAGACGGAGTCACTGCTTAACTGCAGGTAAGTAATTTCTTTCTGTACTTAATGCAACTCACAGGGGATTTAATTTCAACCCGGACGCCGCGCACGGCAGTTTGCAGAAACCCTAGGCATGGCTGGTAGCTATTTGCTAGCTTTGGCTTTTAGAGGTGCTCAGGTTATCCAAGAAAAAAAAAAAACAAAACAAAAACAAACCCAAAACAACAGCAAGCAATAAGAGGCATCTAATAGCTGCATCAACATGTCTGCAAAGCATCTCTGCCCAGTGCATCTCCCCCAGCGATCGCTCCCCTGCCTGGCTGCGCAGCCGAGGAGAAGCCAGCCCCACAGACGTGCCCGGCCCCCCCCCCTCGTAACCCCAACTCACGCCCTCCGCCGCAGTTCTTCACTTTGTAGTAGCAGTAGAGAGACAGCATCACCAGGTCTGCGATCACGTAGTAAACGGCTGTGTAAATCTGTGGGGAGAAGGACGGGTTGGTTCTGCCTGCAGAAAGGCTTCCAGCCGCTGGCTGGGATGAGCCAGCATCGCAGGGGGGAAGGGAGCATCCCCGGGGTGGGGTGGGGAGGAGAAGGGAGCATCCCCCGGGCTGTTTGGGTCTCCGGATCCCGGTGCTGGATTAAGCAGCACCCATCCCACCCCACCCCACCCCACCCCACCCCACCCCACCCCTCCTCCCTGGAGTTTGGGGGGGGTTTGAGAGCCGACCCTGCCCCAGTGAGTCGGTCGATACCTGCAGGGGCAACTGGTTGGCCAGGGAGGAACCGATGAGGTTCAGGAGGTCTCCGCCCAGCCAGCCCAGCAGGAAATATATGGAGAGAGCCTGGTCCATGACGCCTGTTTTGCAGGCTTGGTAAAACTGCCTGCAGAGAGAGAGTTGGCAGAGACACAAACCACAACCCCCGGCCCCTTCACCACTACCTGGGAACCACCCCCAGCTCTCCCTGGTGCTCCCACCTGGATCATTTTGCCCTTGCCACCCGCCCAGAGCACTCGGGGTGAGGAAAAGCGAGGATTTCCTCTAGCAAAGCCACATGCTCCCCTGCAAACCCATCCCTGGGAGAAATCCTGCGACCCAGCGGGCGCTCGCAGCGACTCCAGCCCTCGTGACCCATCGCTCACACGGAGAAGCACCAGCTGCAGAAACCGCCTCTCCAGTTACGAAATAACCTGATGACACGCTGAGACCAAGCACTGACCCCCCACGTCCCCCTCTGCCACGGCTGTCCCAGCACTTCCAAGAAGCTCAGGGCTCCCGGAAACTTTTCTTCCACACGCATGACCTGCGACGACTGCATTGCAGTTGGCTTACGTGGGTTATTCCAGCTGCCAAGCATCATAATAACAATGTAATAACAAACAAGGGTTTGCAGCTGTACTGCCTGCTCCCTCTCCTCTTGTTAAACCCAAATTTTCCAAGCCCAGATTGCTTGTGCCGGGTACATTCGATAATTCAGGCAGCTTAAGCTTCAAATTGGATTTTTAGAGCGGAGCGTTGCACCAAGGGAAGAGCTCGGCGGGGTTTGGGGAGCGATACTCACGGAAAAGAAGCAGCCGCAAAACAGAAGATGGAAATCAGACCCAGGACGACGCTGGCGACGTCCCGGCCGTCCCGGGCGCATTCGTTGAACACGTCCATCACCCAGCGGGAGCTGTTGGGACAGTCAGAAAAATTCCCAGGGGGCAGCCCCGGCCAGCGCCGCGCAGCCATGGCTCAGCTCCGGGGTGTTTGTCGGTGTCCAGCAGCAAAACTGTTGGGATAACGCTGGGGAACATGTGAAAACATGGGGAAAAAAAATATCAGTAACGTTGGGGAAAAAGATATCTGTATATATCAGGAAAAAATATATATATGAATATTATATACATGAATATTATATATATATTATACATATGAATATATTATATCTAATAGGAAGAGGCTCATGGCTCCTCCAGCTGCGGCTTGTTTGCAAAAAACTCATCTCTGACTAATACACCTTTACCAGCCTTAATTTCACATCCAGCGGGATGACCTGACTTTGGCCTCAAAGACGGAATAAAACCCAACCTCCTCATCCTCGCAGAACAGGGACTTACCTTGCTCACCGATGGCGGTGTGGAAAAAATTCGCCTTATTTTCCCTTTGGAAAACCACTCCTTTTTCGGGAACTTGTTGTTTTTTTTTTTTTTTTTTTTTCCTCCCAACTCCACCGCCTCTTCATAAACTTCCTGGCTTTCCTTCGCAAATTTGCTGTTTTTTCAGAAACTTGCTGCTTTTCTTCCAAATCAGCTGCTTTTTCGGGAAGTTGCTGGGAGTTCTTTTGCAAACCTGCTGCTGGCGGCGGAGGGGAAGAAATCACCCGGATTTTTACAAGTCTGCTGCTTTAGCAGAGACTCGCTGTTTTTTTTGTTTGTTTTTCACCCAAACCTGCTTTTTTGGGGTCAGTTTGCCCCTTTTCGGTGCGTTTCTCCCCGGTCCAGGGACCCGCCGGGTTAAACCGGCGACCCGCGCCCGGCGCCGCCCTCCTGCGCATGCGCGGCCGGGCCCTCACCCGGCGGGGGGGGGCGGGCGCTCTCCCCGCGGTCCGCGCCGGGCGCGCACGCGCAGTGGCGGCGGCAGCGATGGCGGCGGGGGGAGCGCGGCCCGGGGTGGTGCTGGGCGCCATGGAGGTGGGGCGGCGCGCCGGGCCCGAGGCGAGCGCCGCGCTGCTCCGCGCCTTCCTGCGGCGCGGATACCGCCTCCTCGACACCGCTTACATGTACGCGGGTGGCGAGTCCGAGCGCATCCTGGGCACGCTGCTGGCTGGCGGCACGGAGCCCGGTACGGCCGGGGCCGGGGGCGATCTCTGAGGAGAGGGGGCACTCCTGAGGGGAAGGGTCTTCCCTGCCAGGCTGACACCGTCCCTGAAGAGGAGGGCTTTCCCCCCAGGGCCCGTTCTCTGAGGAAAAGGGTCCTCCTTCCTGAGGAGGAGGGCATTCCCCCAGGCCTGTTCTCTGAGGAGAAGGGTCTTCCCTGCCAGACTGGCACCGTCCTTGAGGAGAAGGGACTCCCCTGCTAGTGCTGACCCCTGGGCTTTGAGGAGGAGGGCCTACCTTTCTAGGGCAGACCTGCCATCCCTAAGGAGAAAGGAACCAGACATGATTCCCGAGGAGAGGGGCCTTCCCTGAAACACTTGAAGCAACATTTGTGTCGTGTCCCTTATTCCCATTCCATTCCCCAAAGCTGAAATGTCCCTGCTCATTCTTTCTCTCTGCCAGTCGAAGTCGCCACCAAGGCCAATCCCTGGGATGGGAAGACGCTGAAGCCTGAGAGCGTGCGATCACAGCTGGACACGTCCCTGGAGAGGCTGAAGAGGACGAGTGTGGAGCTTTTCTACCTCCATGCTCCTGACCACGGGACCCCGGTGGAGGAGACGCTGCGTGCCTGCAACGAGCTGCACAAAGAAGTAAAGTGGGCAGTCCAAGCCTAGACCATCTCCTGATTCCCTCCCACCACCTTTTTAAAGCAGGGCTGCTTGTTGTGCCCTTCCGCAGCGCCGGGTTTGTGCAACACTAGGAAGAGGGAACACAGATGACCAGGGCAAAGCCAAACACCGGACGCTCCGTTGCGTGTTCACATGGTGCACTTTGTTCTCAGCAGCTCTCGGAAACATTAGAACATCTGAACTTTGCTTTCAGCAGTGTTAACTGACTAGGTTAAGATTAGTGCTGGTAATGGGTAGAGATGAATTCTTGAATTGCATTAATTTAATAGTGCCATTTAATTTGAACGTAGAACAGGGGAAATATTTTTGTCAGGTCTTATAATTCACAGTCATCTAGAAGAGGTAGACAGGGATGAGCAGAGAACTCGACTAAAATTTGGCAACTCTCCTTTTCACCATATGCATCTTGCACTGTCTAGTAATAACTGCACTTTAAAAATCTGGAATTGAACACCCTTTTATTTCTCTGCAGGGAAAGTTTAAAGAACTTGGTTTATCAAACTATGCAGCGTGGGAGGTAGCAGAAATCTGCACCATCTGCAAATACAACAACTGGGTGATGCCAACTGTGTACCAGGTGAGGGACAGGGGCTTGCCATGGTCCGGCACATCTTTTGTGGAGGCTGAGATGAATCAAACCGAAAGAGTGCGAGGAATCAGATCGGAGCAGCATGTGGATGGTTCTCTGTGTCCTTACAGCAACAGTCAGTCACTATGGGGAAGGGGCTGGGAGCCCCGAGTCTTGGACCAGCCCCCACTGTGTCAGATATAAACACAGAAAAGGAAACTGATGCAGTTTGGGAAGTCCTTCCAGGACACTCATGATTAGCTGCGTGAGGTCACTTCTCGGGAAAAGCTGAGTACGTGTTTGTTGCTTGAGTCAGTGACTCCCTTGATGTGACACTTAAAAGTTTTTTGTGTTATTTGCAACCCTTTAGAAAGTCTGTTCCTAAGCAGATAATAACCTTTTGTGAGCTGAAGCTGCTCTTCTGGATAGGAGGGTTGTCAGGGAAGGGTGGGGAAAAGGCTGTTCCAGGTGCTGATGCTCACTGCCACGAGCTAGCGTTTGAATTTGTCTCCCTCCCTCGTGGTTGTGCAGGGTATGTACAATGCGACCACTCGCCAGGTGGAAGCCGAGCTCTTCCCTTGCCTGAGGTACTACGGACTGCGGTTCTACGCCTACAACCCGCTTGCAGGTACGGGGAGGGAAAGGGTGAGAATGAGACAAAACCGTGCAAAATGAGGGCTGGAGGAGCCAGCCCATCCCCAAACGTGCTGCTGCCCCTTTGCAGGAGGGCTGCTGACTGGCAAGTACAAGTATGAGGACAAAGACACACGCCAGCCCACTGGGAGATTTTTTGGGAATGACTGGGCTCAAGCCTACAGGGACAGGTAAGTTTTGAGCTGATAGAAGAGCAGGGAGACGGGGCAAGAATGGCTACATAAAAACCCACTAATAATTGGCTGAGAGGAAGCAGAATCGACCAAAGCTTGTGCAGTGATTACTTCTGCGCATGTGACTGGGGCTGTGGCTTGTGACTCAGCTTTGCAGAGTGGTTTTTAGGCTCAGCTTCCAACTTGCAGTGGGAGATTGCAGGAGCCCTCAGCCTATGAAGGCCTGTATGAGGCTTCCTGAAAGCCTTTCGTACTTGCTTGGAACAGAGATGTACAATTCACTGGAGGTTTCAAGGGCAGTAAGAGTGATTTCTCTTCTGGCAGGTACTGGAAGAAGCACAATTTTGAAGGAATTGCCCTAGTAGAAAGAGCTCTGAAAGATGCTTACAGTTCCAATGCGCCGAGCTTGACCTCTGCCGCTTTGCGGTGGTTGTACAATCACTCCAAACTGCAGGTAAGAGCTTGACGTGGCCGTGGCCGGCAGCCCGCGCGGCACCGGGCAGCTGAGGCAGCACGCAACTGGGGAGGCGTCTGTCCCGTGGACTTGTGGCATTCCAAACTGAATATTGCTGTCCAGACTCTGCCAGGCTGTAGGAGTGAGTCAGCTCTGCGGTGTCCTGTGTTCGAGGGGTGGAAGAAGCGGTAAATTTTCAGTGCCAATTAGTGGGGTCTTGGCTTCCCACCCAGGCAGCTTCCCTGCAAGAGGACTTTGCTTTTCATTGGACTTGGAAATTAATGGTTATACTCCTCCCCCTTCCCAAAATGTTCCCATAGCCCTTCATAAAGTAGGATTTGGCAGCTTTTGAGGAGTTGGCATGACCTGGGAGATGTTCTGGCCTTGTGAACAGAACTTAATGGAGTCAGTTGTTGAAATATCCAGGAGTTGCTGGATGTTCTTTAGTGGAAAGGAACATTTAAAGGTTGGTCTGCGGTGGCGTGGGAGGTGAACTGTTTCTTTCAGGCTCAGCAACTCCCCCCTTTCTAGGGTTCTCTTGGAGATGCAGTGATCATTGGGATGTCCACCTTGGAGCAGCTAGAGCAGAACCTTGACTACAGTGAAGAGGGTCCCCTGCTCCCGCCTGTTGTGGAGGCGTTCGATAACGCCTGGAACCTGACTGCGCACAACTGCCCCAACTATTTCCGCTAGAGACCAGGGCAGGGAGAAAGTGAGGGTCGTGGGGGTGAGTGATGGAGCACGAGTCTCTCTGAGCACGGGAGAGGCACTTACCTATCCTGCCCCTTTGATCGATGTGCAAATGGGTTGAGATTTTTTTCTTGTACTAATGAAGCTTTGTAGGATCCGCCACCAGAGGGAGCACAGGTTCTGCTGGGCTGTGCCTTAGTCTTTCTCCCCTCATGAACCTTGAGCCCTACAGAGCACACACTACGATTTAAAGATGCAGTTGATTGGGGAAAATGGACACAGAACTGGGCGAAGACCCCAGTTCTGCTTTAATATGATCTCAAATAATGATGTACAAGAATAAAACCTTTTTCTAATGCAGACATTGTCTCTTAACTGTACCTATAAACTGGCTGGAATCTCCTTGCCAGTGCTCAGCAACACTGAGCTAAAGCACTTCTTCCGAAGCTTTTCGCAGAAGAACAAACCCTCACCACTGTCCTGTGACAGGGGTGCTATGTCTAAGTTGCTTTACATTTACACGCTTTCTGCCTAGCTTTCATGTTTGAGGTGGCATTGCCTCAGATCCTGAGGTAGTCAAACAGTAACAGGCAGCAGTGACAAACATCTGAAGTTTTATATATAGACTTATATTAAAAAAGCATCATTAGGTCATCTTTTCTGAAGAACACATTTGAGTGATGGTCCTTGTCCTCCCAGTGTAAATGGGGAAGAGAAACATTCTCCTCTTTTGTCTCTGAAACAGAGTAGAACTGTCTGGTGTCCACACATGAGGACTGCTGCTAGTCCTCACTGCTGTCATCATTATCCTCCTCCTCTTCCTCCTCCTCCACTGAGTCTCCCACAAGCTTCTGGAAGTCTCCCGTCTCAGAATTCCATAGAAATTTGATGGTGACTTTAAACTCCGCCATCTCGTAGCCGAAGAGTTTCTAGGAAAAGACACAAATCAGTCATTCCTGCTTTCCTGTCTCTGTGGCCAGCCTACAAAAAACATTTACAGGAAGGACCATGCGCAGATGGGAACTGCAGCAAAGCAGGAGCCAAAATAACTGCAGGGGTTTAGCACTCATGTCAGGAAAGCGTTAGGATGTTTGCTGCACCTCACTAAGCAATGCCCAGAAGTACTGCTCACCTTCATCTGAGAACTTGCACCTCCCACCCAATTAAACCCAACAGTTAATTATTTTGTATCGGGGAAATAAGGGCTCTCGCTGATGCTGCATTACAATGTTACTCACCAGGACTCGGGCTTGTTCAGGGGTGAGAACATCCCCTTCTTTGCAGACTTCGTAATCTGAAAGTAACGTCACCACTCCTGCAGGAACAAAACCTCTTGGAATAGACTCACAGACGCCAGATAAACCCACCAAAACGTGGGGTGCAGGGTTATGACTCCCTAAAACACCGCCCTTTGTAGTGCATGCCTTTCCATGCAAATATTACACCCCAAGAAGCTGGGTGGGATCAGCTCTAAAGACAACCCCACACCTGGTTTTGAGCAGAAAACCAACACGCTAGATTAGGTAGGCATAGTTGTTTCCACTGAAAAAGAGAGCTGGCTGTTTCACACGTCCTTCAACACCAGTTTGGGAAGAATGGCATGAGAAAAATATAATGAGTTCTAGCACCAGCCAAACAAGGAGAATGTTGTCCATCAGATTTTCTCCAAAACTAAATTCTACGCAATTATTTAGTACTCTCCTTAAGAGATCTTATCTGAGCAGATGGAAAATGAAGCTTAACTTCTCGGCTGCTTCACATACCTTTCTTTAAAGCTGTTGGCAATCCCAGCTGCCGTAACTGAGGCTCCATGGAGTGGGGGAACTGCTCCAGGGGCCCTGTGTCCAGGCTCACTGCGTACGTTGCCTTGTTCCCTGCACGGGCAAAGTCCACCTCTCTGAATTTGGAGAACCACCTGCGACAGGTAACGAAAGCTTTAGCTGCAGCAGGAACATCCCTTGGCTGAGATGGGGATTATGGCATCGCCTGCTGTAACCTCCTCCCTGCTCTTGCAGGGATGGCAGAGAAAGACGAACAAAAAAGCCTCATAAGATCACAGAATCACAGACTGGTTTGGGTTGGAAGGGACCTTAAAGCCCACCCAGTCCCTCCCCTGCCCTGGGCAGGGCCCCCTTCCCCCAGCCCAGGGGGCTCCCAGCCCCGTCCAACCTGGCCTTGAACCCTTCCAGGGAGGGGGCAGCCACAGCTGCTCTGGGCACCCTGGGCCAGCGCCTCACCGCCTGCACAGGAAAGGATTTCTGCCTTAGATCTGACCTAAATCTCCCCTCTTTCAGTTTAAAAGCGTTACCCCTCGTCCTACCCCCACCCCCTGATCCAGAGTCCCCCCCACCTTTCTTGCCCTCCCTTTAAGCCCTGGGAGGCCGCTCGAAGGGCTCCCCGGAGCCTTCTCTTCTCCAGGCTGACCCCCCCCCAACTCTCTCAGCCCGGCCCCCCAGGGGAGCTGCTCCAGCCCCCCCAGCATCTCCGTGGCCTCCTCTGGCCCCGCTCGAGCAGCTCCGTGTCCTTCTGCTGTTGGGGGCCCCCGAGCTGGCCCCAGCACTGCAGGGGGGTCTCCCCAGAGCAGAGCAGAGGGGGAGAATCCCCTCCCTGGCCCTGCTGCCCCCCCTGCTCTGGCTGCAGCCCAGGGCACGGGTGGGTTCTGGGCTGCGAGCGCACGGTGCTGGCTCACGGGCAGTTTTCCATCCCCTAATACCCTCAAATCCTTCTCCTTGGGGCTGCTCTCCAGCCACCCCTCGCCCAGCCTGGATTTGTGCTGGGGATTACCCCAACCCACAGGCAGAACCTTGCACTTGGCCTTGTTGAACTCCATGAAGTTTCCCCATGCCCCCCTCTCCAGCCTGCCCAGGCCCCTCTGGATGGCATTAAGGGAAACATCACCAAGTGCAGAACCCGAGTAGAAAAAAACAAACAAAATCTGCTCAGCCTCCCACGGCCGCCGGGCGCATACTCACGCATCCACCTCATCCCTGGTGCGGTCGGTGAAGAGGAGACCGACCTCCCCCCGCAGCCGTCTGCTGACCTGAAAGAGAAGAGCCCGGCGGGGGAGCTCAGCCCTTGCTGCTCTGTCCCGGGCAGTTCAAAAGTTCTGCTGAACACCCGGAGCTCTGGTGTCGGATCCCACCCGGCGTTCGCTCCGGGACGGGCGAAGCTTTTAGGACGCCGCAAAAACAAAACCCCAACCTCTTTACCTTGTGCAGATTCTCCTTATACTCGCTGCTCGGCTCCCGTCCCAGCGCCACCATCATCACTTTGTTCTTCCCGAAGAAGATCCTGACCCGGCGGGACGAGGAAGAGCAGGAAGGTGTGAGCCCGCGGGCCACGTTCCCCCCCCGCGGGCGGCGTCCCCGCCCCAGCCTCACCTGCTGTGTTTCCAAGCGTTTCGGACGTCCTTCAGCTTGTTGTTCCTCATGTTGGCAACGGAAAAGACGAAGATGTATTTGTAGGTGTCCACGCAGCGCCGCAGCTGGAAGGACACCGGTTAACCGGGGGAGGGGGATGGGGAAACCGGGGCTCCGCGCCGCGCCACACTCACCTCGGCAATCAGCGCCTGCTTGGCCTCCAGCCCCTTCCTGGGCGTCCGCGTAAGGGAGACTGCAGGGAGCGGAGGGGAGAGGGCGCGTTAGGGCGGGAATAACACCGGAGGAGCGGGGGGAGGTTTGGGGGGGGGGTCGGGGCGCTCACCCTTACGGTCCCGCTTGGACTTCGGCATGGCGGCGCCGTGCTTCGAGGCCCCCGCCGCGCCGCGCGGGCTGCCGGGAGCGCTCGCAGGCTGCCCTGCGCGGTGCCTGCAGCCCCTCCCACCCTGGTGGTGCAGGCGCGCGGCTGCGGGGTTTTGTGGTTTGTTTTTTTTTTTTTTTTCGCGCAGGCGGGAGCGCGGGCAGCCCCACAGCGTTGAGGCCCTCCCCTACCCGGGCGGCGGGCCGCTGCCATGGCGGCGAGGCCGTGGCTGCTGCTGCTGCTGCTGCTGCTGCTGCCACTGGTGGCCGCCGTCTACGAGGATCAAGTGGGCAAGTTCGACTGGTGAGTGCCGGGGGGAAGGCCTCCCCTCCGCGCTGGGGTTCTCCTCTCGCAAGCAGGCCGTGCTGCCTGCCGCTGCCCCTCGGGCCTGTCCCCTCCCGCCCCCTCAGCCGGGCGCCCCGCTGTCCCTTCTCACCCCCGCTCACTTCTCCTCTCCCAGGAGGCAGCAGTATGTGGGGAAGCTCAAATTCGCCTCCTTAGAGGCCTCGCAGGGTTCGAAGAAACTCATCGTGGCCACCGAGAAGAATGTGGTGGCCGCCCTGAACTCCCGGAGTGGCGAAATCCGTGAGTGAAGCGGAGTTTTGTTGCGGGGAGTGTGCTGCATGTGCTGGGGCTATCGTGCCGATGGAGCTGCGTTACGTTTCCATACTGATAAAGTAATATTGGTGATGCTGCTCGGTCAGACTGAGAGGATTCAGCGGTCAGTTCCAGAGCTGTTGCTTAGGGCAGGCAGACTGCTCTCTGCATAACCTTGAAGCCATAAAGAGCCTATGTTTAAAAATAATAACAGTGAAATGCCTTTGGGGGCACAAATCTTGTGCTCACTTGACTGTTTCTTTCAGTGTGGCGCCACGTGGACAAGGGAACCTCCGAAGGGGCGATAGATGCGATGCTGATCCACGGGCAGGGTAAGAACGTGCAGGTGCTGTGCTGGGGGTAGCAGTGGTCTTTGTATGTGGGATCTCGACCACAAGGTGAACTTGCCTTGTTGATCTGCGTTGGGATACGAGTTCTATGTTCATCTACTTTTCTTAATTTCCTGGGCAGATGCTATCACCGTGTCCAATGCTGGACGTATTCTGCGTTCCTGGGAGACCAACATCGGTGGGTTGAACTGGGAGACATCCCTGGACACTGGCAGGTAGGCTTTTGTGTTTGCACCATGTTTCCCTTTGTAGTTTTGGTGTAGGAAGGAAAAAGAAGGTTGTTGGCCTTATTTGGACTTGCATTATGGGGGAAGATTAGTTAGACATAAAGTTTACAAAGTAACATTTAGGAAAATTCTTTATGAATGCCTGAACCTTGTGGTTAAATCTAATGCTGTTTCTATTTCTTTGCACACCAGTAAGAGGAAGAGACAAATTTTTTTTGTAGATAGATTTTCTCTTTAAATATACGTATTAAACATTTCTTTGGTTTGGAGTGTTTGGATTCTAGTCTAGCGCTCTCTCTTGATATCAGCCAAGATAGATGAAGTGGGCTATAAATTGTGCTTCAAGACTGGTGTGATGTGTTTGAAGAAGGTCTTCCAACAGAGTGGGTTTTTTTTTCCTAGAAGAAAAAAAATTCTGTAACTTACTGTCTCTGACCTGTGCTCAGCTTCCAGATGGCTAGTTTGGTGGGGCTACAGGACGTGGTAAAATATGTCGCAGTCCTGAAGAAGGCAGCCATCTCTCTTCACTACCTTTCAAATGGGCACCAGAAATGGGTGGAACACTTACCAGAAAGGTAAGAATATATTTTAAGTGAAAATGTAAACTTTTGATAGGGAGCCTGTTGCCTCAGAGAGGAAAGGATGTTGTAATTGCCTTATGCTTTTGAAAACATCTGAAAACAGTAATGTCGTAAAACAGTGCTTCATGGTTGCTGCTTCTCTTGCAGTGAGAGTACTCAGTACCAGTTACTGTATTCCCATGGGACTGGAGTGATCCACGTGCTTGGAATCGTTCCCCAGAGCCACTTGAACATTTTAACATTCAGTGTGGAAGATGGAGAAATTAGAAAACAGGTAGAGCTCAGTTACAGCTCCAAAATACTGAATTTGATGTTAACAAATGTACTTCCAACTACATGGGCTGTGGTGTGGTGTGCAGGGTAATTAATTGTTGTTGTAGTACAGATAAATTTCCCTTTCACTGTGGCATTGCCTGCGGGCCAGTAAGTGGATTTCACTGCTGAGTTCTCTGAAAGCAAAACCAAGTCAGACTTGCATCTGTTAGTCAAGACCATCCTAGAAATGTCAGGCTGATAGTTTATCCCGGGGTCATGGGTGAAAATAATTCTGACTTAAATTCTTGGTTGTGACCAAGGTGGTTCTTTGAAGATTTTGTTCTGTTGACAACTTAATCTCTTTGCTTATGTCTCACTTGGCAGATCAGAGTTGCAGCCCCATGGCTGAAGAGCTTAAACGGCGTGTGCAGCGTGGTGGGGGAGGCAGTGCTGGTGTGCATGGACATGGGCACGCAGTCGCTCTATGTTTGCTCCTTGGTGACAGAGCAGGAGATGAAGCAGATCCCGCTGCAGGTGGGAAGCGCTGAAAGAGCACTGTAGGAAATCCCTTGCCCAACTGGTTTGGTGCCTGACTGAGCCTGGCAGTGTAGGGGGTTCTGTTGGCAAACTGCAGAATGATTGCAGAGGTGTTGAGGTGGAGCACAATCCATAAATTCAGGGAAGGGAGAGAAAACTTTTTGTCTGTCTAATCGTTCCCTCTGGATTGATGTCTTCAGAGCTTTGCTCCAATGGGACCCTAGGCCTCCTTGTTTCTGCTTTGTTTATCCTGACATGGGGAACTTCTGCATAAAATTATACTGCTGCTGACAAAAGGAAGGTATTGGTTTCAGTGAAGAAGTTCTTCCAGACACATATGCTTGTCTCCCTTTCACAGTCACTTGACCTGGAGTTTGCTGATGGCTTCCAGCCCAGGATATTGGCCACTCAACCCAATGTAATCAGTGCTTCACGGACTCAGTTCTTCCTGCAGCTGTCTCCAAGCAACTTCTCTCTGCTACAGTACAAGCACGGGCTGCTCAGCCACCTTCGGGACTTCCAGCAGGTAGCCAAGATAAATGTACTCAAGCAATCAGGCCACTGGCAGCTTAAAATTCTTTAAAACAAACACACACATCTGTACTAGGCGTTCTGAACAAGCTGCTGAGCTTCTCGTCTCGATTGTGCTCTTGGCTGCAACACTTGAAAACCATTTGATTTCATTTATAATAGCTGCTGAAATCTTTCCAGACATCAGTGTGGGTGTGCTTTGTTGCCAACAACTGTCAGCGTTGGGGTAGTTTCCTGGTTTTGAGGTGGATAAAGAGATTCGTGTCTGAGTGGCTAGTGGTGCAGCAGTACTTCTGTCAGGTTTTGAAAAGCAAACAAGCTTTACAAAGCTCAGTGATGCTGGATGTAACAGTTGAAAAGCCTGTGGCAGGTCAGCTGCTTACATCTTTATGAGAAATGTTTTCAGTCCCAGGGCAGTCTTATAAGAGAATTTTTTTTATTATTATTATTATTTGGTGAAATAATGAAATTTCAAACTTGTCTGTGAAAGATCATCTGTTTTTAATTCCAGTATGGCTTAATTTGCTACACAGGTAGTTTTTGGTGGGGTTTGGGGATTTTCATGTTTGTGTTATGACTTCCTGCTATCTTTTTTTGTTTCAGGCAGCTCTGGTGAGTTTTGCAACAACTGGGGAGAAAACTGTGGCCGCTGTCCTGACCTGCAGGAGTGAACTGGTTAGCAAAATTTGCCTGTTCTCTGTAACCAGCCCAGCTCTAGTACGGATGTGCACTAGGAGTGGGTTCCACGAGTGTTTTCCCTCACAGGCCTTCAAGGCCAGGTTGGATGGGGCTTTGAGCAGCCTGGTCTGGTGGAAGGTGTCCCTGCCCATGGCAGGGGACTGGAACTGGCTGATCTTTAAGGTCCCTTCCGACCCAAACCAGTCTGTGATTCACGGGCCCAGGGATGGGTAGTAACTTGAGAAAGATTTAGTAAACTTCTCAGACATATGAAGGCAATGGTAATGCAAGCAGGTCTTGATTACATGCAGCTGAGGCTATCTGTGGCATGGTGAAGCATGCTGGCCTGTGTGCAGCCTGGCTCAGCCTTGTGTATTGTGGGTATATAACCTAGGAATTGGCTTTACTAATTTATAAAAGGCTAAAGTTCTTAGGGGTACCAAACTTAGCAAAGTTTAATTTTTATCAGAAATTGAATAGAACAAAACTATTTCCTACTTGTTTTGAGAGTCAAGCCGAGACTTGCCAGACACTCAGAAACCTAGGGGTTTTTTGTACTCTTATTGGGGTCTGTAGCCATGTTATCTCTCCACATCCTCATTTCAGAAACCTGGAAGTTCCGATGGTCTTCATGCTGGAAGTACTCTGGAGCATTCCTGGAAGCAGGTATAAAGTGCGCTTCTTCCCAAGAACTGTAGAAGTTCTTGACAGTCCATTTTACTCTTTTCCATGCAGGAATGGAATGAAAAAGGTGTTACACCATCTTTTTGGAGACTGATGTTTTGTAGCAGCTCCATAAATATATAATCTAAAAATACGTTGAAGCCACAGTTCTTGCTGAATACGAAATCCTGCAGAATGTGGTGTGGCATGTGTGTTTAACTCAACTATTTTCTCCCTGTTGTAGGAATCGTTAACCTGTTCCAATCAAACCTACAATATTAATCTCTACCTGGTTGAAACAGGACAAAGATTGTTGGATACCACAATTACCTTTAACCTGGAGCAGAGTGGTGCCAAGCCACAGCAGGTGAGTGTGAAGAGTTCATTTCAGTCCTGTGGTTTATCAGATGTGCAACGCCCTCCCTAGCCTGATTTGGCAGGATTGGTAGAGCCCTGACAAGGTGGAAAGCATTCTGTGGGCACACTGGATTACTGCATGCAATGAGACGGTTTGCTCTTGGTTCACCTGAGAGTCCTGTTTTGTCCGAGGAGACGGTGTTATCATTAACCCCACTATTTTGCTTACTCTTTTTTTCCAGCTCTACATCCAAGTTTTCCTGAAGAAGGATGACTCTGTGGGCTATCGAGCCTTGGTG